CGCGGATATTACTTTAATAAAAAGAAAAAAGAAAAATTTTAATGGCTAAGATACCTAACTAACCACATTAGTTTTAAATTCCAATAGAGTTTAAAACAAAAAAAATAATAAAGTAATGATAATAATAATAATTACGGAACAAATTAACCTGAATTTTGCGACCAAAAATCACGCGCTCGCATTTGGTCTTTTGTTTTGTTTGTTTGTTTGTTCGTTTGTTTAATATATAAAAAAAAAAAGAAAAGAAAATGATAATTAAATTATTGAGTACTGCAATTAAATTACGATTTCCTTTGTTTTTATCATGTCTCTTAATTTCTCTAACAACGAATAAGGAAATTTTTTTTTTTGTAGTTTTCTTTTTTCTTTTCTTTTTTCTTTTCCATTTTTCCAAACGGATTTAAATGGGAAAAAGGGGGAAATTTTGTTTATTAAATTATATAAATTAAATTTAAATTAGTAACGTGTTTTTTTTTTTTGCGCGCGCGAAAGTAATAATAATAATAATAATGGTTTATTTATTATTAATTTTTTTAAAATCGTTTGATAAAAATGAAAAAGAAAAATTTGATTGTTTTTATTTTATTTTATTTTTTTTTTTTTGCGAGTTGTGTGTGTGTGAGAGAGAGAGAAAGAGAGAGAGAGAGAGAGAGAGAGAGAGAGAGAGAGAGTTTGTTGTTGTTTGTTTGTAAACGTGAACGAACGAACTCGAATTGAAAAGAAAACAATAAGAAAAATTCGTAACGCAAAATAAAAAAAATCTTGGGAATCTCATTCTAGAGAAGGTCATATTGTCGTGGAAACAACCTCATGGAAATAATATTGAGATAGTTTATCAGTCGTCGTGTCCGTGGTTTTGTTTTTTTTTTGTTTTTTTTTTTTTTATCATGATTACGAAGGGTCAAATATATGCACTGGAGAAAAAGAAAAAAAAAGAAAAAGAAAGAAAAAAAAAAAAATTAAATGAAAACCGTAATAATTCATTTCATTCCAAAATTTTTTCTTTCTTATTCTTTTGGTTTTTTTTCAATGTCGATGATGATGATGATGATGATGATGATGGTGGTGAACTTGTGAGAGAAACAATATGTACATGATGATAATAATGATAATAATAATAAATCGTATTGATATTAATATCGGTCGTTGTAAAAAAAAAAAAAAAAAAAAAAAAATTACGGTTTTAAAAATACATTAAATGAAATCGTTCGCTTTGTACCCCCCCCGGCCATTTTTTTTTTTTTTTTTTTTTTTTTTTTTTACAAGGTTAAAAAATTTATTTATTTATTTAATTTAATTTTTTTTTATTATCAACCCCTTTTTAAATTTGTTGTCTAAATCACGATAAATCTTTTTTTTTTTTTTTCGGACGAAAAAAAATAAGTACGTGAATGAGGTGAGAAAATATCGAATTAAATATTTATTATTTATTATCATTGATTTCATTTTCCTACTTCCTCGAGAAGTAGCAGACGAAATTTTTTATTTATTTATTTATTTATTTTTTAAAGTAATCGTAACGAATTTTTTTTTTTTTTAAATACGTGATTTCATTTTATTCTCATGGTGGAAAAAAAAAAAAGAATTTTTTTTCGTTACGGTTGATTGATCTCGATAACGAAAAAAAAAAAAAATGTCGGCGGATACAAATTTGGGAAAAAATTATTATTATTATTATCTTTTTTTCGGGGTCAAATTTACGACGAGGGGTTAAAAATATAAATAAGGGAAAGAAAATGTGTGTGTGTGAGAGAGAATGTGCAAAATAAGGTAAAAAAATAAAATAACGTTACCGCTGTGGTTTTTTTCTTTGTCGTTCCTCCTCTTCTGCTCGGATAAAAATTATACGTCGTCGCCTCATTTTCGTCGCCATCTTGATTAGTAAGGAACGCGGCTGTCGTTCTGTTGGTTTGATCATCGTCATCACTCGAAGAAAGGTTTTTCACATGGTCGTGGTGATGATGATCACTTTCGTTTTTTTTCGATCTTTCAACCGTTGCATCGTTTAATTTTCTCGATTGAAATTCTATTTCCGATGGTAGCAAATCCCTTCCGAGCCTTGATTGAAAATGATTTTCCTCTTCTTGAGTCGTCGTCGTCGTCGCCGCCGCCTCCGCGGAATTTTTCCTGACTTTGGCAATTTTTTCCAATTCCATAAGATTTTTCGACGACAATTTATTATTATTATTCACTTTCGACGACGGATTCGTCCACGTTTCTCCTTCCGCAGCGATAAAAACTACGAAATTAAATATAACTAACGATAATAATAATAATAACGACGACGACGATGATGATGATAAATTATTAATTTTCATCGTGATGTGATTGTTTATTTCAAATTCGTTAACGTATTTTCCTTTGCGACGTTGCGTTGTTGTTTCGTTTTCCAAAAATTGATTTTTATATCATTTTCATTGAAACCCGCTGTGGAAAAATAAGAAAAAAAATTTTTTTTTTTTATTAAGTCATTTTAACGTATTATTATTATTATTATTATTTTAAAAGGTGTTAATGTACAGTTATGAAATAAGGAGAAATGAATGGAAATTTTTTATTATTATGTACATGTTATGTATGTGCGTTTGTTCTTTTTCGACGGTCATTGTTCGTTTTTTTTTTTTTTTTATGCAACATTTTTTGAATGAAGGAAAAGCAAATCTATTGTTTTCCAGTGCAAGAAAAAAAAACTTTTATCGAAATGAGTTGTTAAATTTTTTCTTGTTTTGTTAGGTAATCAAAAGAAACGAAAGAAGTTTTGGAAAAAAAAAAAAAAAACACAAAATTCCGATTCGTTTATTGGTTTATTTGTAAGGTTAATGAGGTTGACGAAAAACAAAACAAAACGTGGCGGAAGAATAATCGTTGTTTGCAACGAAAAAAAAAATAGAAAGTGTGAGTAGACGCTGCTGCTTTTGTTTCTTTTTTTTTCGTATTGATTTTACGAATTTTTACTTTTTGTCTACTGAATCACCAAAAAAAAAAAAAAACAAAAAAAAATTTTGTGTCACGTTGTGTTTCGTGAAATTTGATTAAAATTTTCTGGTTCCACGATCGTTCTCGTTCTTCTTATTCATACCACCACCACCACCGCCACCATTACACGTCAGTTAGTCAAATTTAAGTCACCTGCGAAAATAATAATGAATTTCATGGGGAAAAGAATTTTTACTTTTCGTGTATAAAGTGATAAAACTATTGAGTGAGTGTGGGTTGTACGGTTCGATGATGATGATGATGATGATCTATCGATCGACTCGGTAAATTTTTGCGATGCGTAAACCGCAAATTTGCTAAAAAAATATGACTCCGGATTAAACAAAACAAATTTAAAATTTGGGTCAAATTATTATTAATCGTTAATAAATTTTTTAATGCCATATAAAAATTATTTTTACTATTGTTATTATCATTATTATTAAATTGAACGGATTATGTTTTTTTTTCGAGAATACGGTTATATATATATAAAAATTGAATGAGAAGTCACGAACGAAACATGAAACATAATAAACAAAAAAAGTGAGAAGACAGTTGAAGGGATTCTTACTTCTTAAAACATGTCGTCACGAATTTTTTTTTTTTTTTAACAACATTTACGTACATGAAGAAATTTTTTTTTTATATGTATATCGAACCGGCTTTATATGTTTGCTTACTACAAGTACTAAAAAAAAAAAAAAATGTAATGTAATAATAATAATAATAATAACGAGGATAATGCTAAGTAACGTGCTCCTGAAATTTTTTATTACGGTACAAATTAAATTTAAAATTTTTTAAAATTATTATTATTATCATTATCATTATTATCATTATTTTTATTATTATTATTATTAGTATTATTATTATTATTTCTATACTTTTTTTTCGCATTTGAAATTTTACGTCTGAACCGTTAAATTAAAAAAGAAAAAAAAACGGATCGATCAACATAATGCGTTTAATTTACTTACTTACACACCGGTTTGATTTTTCGAACGGTGTTTATTAATTTATTTATATATATATTTGCAATTATGTTTGTTTTCTTTTGCGCATGCGCGTTTTTTCCTCCCACTCCCCCCCCCCCAATAAAACGAATGTTAGGAATAATTATTTCGATCGATCGTAATTAATTAGACATTTTTTTTTTTTGGTGAGAATAAAAAATCGGAACGGATGATTGATTGATATCAGAGGAGATTTCGCGGCGTCGCCAAAAAAAATAAAGATCGACTGACTGACCTTTAACCCCGCGAAATTTTTAAATTTTGCGCTCGACCGCAAGCAAAATAATTTTAAATTTCGGCAAAAGAGAGAAAAAAAAACCGGGTTACGAAATTTTTCCGCTTTTTGATTTTAAAACGAGATTTTTTTTTCTTTGGGGGGTGGGAGGAGGGGAGGGTAGGGGAGCCTCCATTAAATTAAATTTTTTTTTTTTCATTTAACTGTCAAAAATGACTGCTTATATAAAAAATTTAATGCGTGCGTGTGTGTGTAAAACGTTTATGTTACCCTTCGAGAACATTCTTACTTTTTTTTTTTTTTTTCTAAAGGTTTAACCTTTTGACCCCCTGGTAGTTATCATTATCGCGGTGATTGAATCCAATTTTTCCCTTATTCTTTCATTTACGGATAATTTACGAACGAAATGAAGGAAAGAAAAAAATCTTAGGCGAATATAAACAACAATGCGAATAAAAAAAAAAAATTATTTATTTATTTATTTATTGATTGTGTGGTTGTTACGAAAACGATCGTTTATTGTTGTTGTTATTGTTGTTGTTATTGTTGTTGTTTTTGTTGCATTTATATTATTATTGTTAAACGATTAACTTTCACACTTAATTTGAATTTGGATAAAAAACGAATAATAAATAATGTTGTGTTTGATTATGGGATTTGTTTTGTTTTGTTTCGTTTTTTTTTCTATCTCCGCCATTATTATTATTATTATTATTTTTCTCTATTTTTCGTGTAAATTTTTAACGGAAAAACATAATAATAATAAAAGCGGAGGATAAAAGAAATTATCATTATTATTATTGTCGTCGTCATAATCATCAATTATTACCGTGCAAAGCATCTATTCGCGTTAATAATTTGATTTTTTTTTTTTTTTTTTTTTTTACATCGCATGCATGTTTCGTTGTTTTCTCGAGGCGGTTGTTGTTGTTATGGTTGTTGGTTGTTGTTTGTTGTTTTTTTTACGAACGAATTTTCGGTCGAATATGAGTGTTAAATTTAAATAAATGCGTAAAGATGATTCGATGAGTATCTCTCTGACTCTCTCGAGTGTAATCATTTATATTCCACGTCTTTTTTTTATTAAACATGCTAAGATGTTAATCCCACGAAAAAAAAAAAAAAATATAGATAATTCCACGGCTTCTACCGAATTAGCTCGATTCGGTAGCAGAAGAAAATTTGCCGTTTTTTTTTTTTTTTTTGTTTTTATTACGTATAAACTAATTTACCGTTTCGTAATTTGATTTAACGTGACCACCGTATACGGATTATTATTATTATTATTATTATTATTTTCGTTGAATTTTTTAACGACGAATGGAAGCAAAATGAAAAAAAGAAAAAGAAACGATGAAAAGGTGTTGTTTGTTTGTTTGTTTGTTTATTTCGTGATTTGTTTGTCAATTATTTGATTGTTAAATAAATTTACTCTTTGCATTATTTATTTGACATCACGAATGTTTTACGTTTTATTATTTTTTTTTTTTTCATTTTGTTTGTTTTGTTTGTTTTTCGAATTTGAATTCTTTCTTTTTCGCACTCAAGTAAGGATTGTATTGGGGGAAAAAAAAAAAAAACAACAAACAAATCACGCTAAAAACGAGACTCGAAAGAATAAAAAATATTTTTAATTATTTGAGTAGTAAAATTAACACGTGATGGGTGGCACAATCCATAGAGTAAATAACAAATTGTATAAATATAATAATGATAATAATAGCAATCGGAAACGAATTAAATTCTATTGTAATGTTTGTTGTTGTTGTTGTTTTATTGTAAATTCAAAACACGAAGGAATATTTTTTTTTTTTTTTTTTAAATAGTAAACCGGAGAGTTCTACTTTTTTACTTTTTTTTTTTTGGAAAAAACTTTCTTTCGAATTCCTTTTTAAAAAAAAAGAAAAAAAAATTTCGAAAGTTGTAAGCTTTACCGGTATTTTTTAAAAATAAATTTCAATTTTTAAATTTCCTTTTTAAAAAAAAAAAAAATTTACTAGTAGGTGGTAAAACAACCGGAACTCGTTCGATTGATTTTTTTTTTTTAATAAAAAATCATTTCGAATGATTTCCTAATACGTATATTTATGCGCGAACCCATGATTAATTTTTTAATAAAGAATTATTAAACATTAATAATAATAATAATAATGAAAGTTTCGGTTTTAATTTATGTATGGAATGAATAGGACACCACACACGCACGCACGTGCTTTTTTTTTTATTCTCCTCCGTAATTTTATTAATTTTGAAAAAAAAAAATCATTCGTTATTATTATTATTATTAATTGTTGTTGTGGTTGTTGTTGTTCATCATCAAAAAAAAAAAAAAAATGAGTAAAAGTTGTTTGTATAAATTTTGAGACGAAAAAAAAAAAAAAAAAACAAATTTCTATTAATTAATTAATAAATATTAATAATATTATCGTCCCGTCAAAATTAATTTACAAAAAATAAATAAATAAATTAAACGAGTTTTTTTTTTGTTTAGAAAATATTATTATTATTTTAATATCGATGGTAATAATAATAATAATATTGATTTAACAGGAAATTAAGTGCACTGTAACTAATAATAATAATAATAATTTTTTGAAAATTGTTTTTCGCCCCCCCCCCCCCCGCCCGTTCTCGAGTTGAATAACTGTTGAATAACAAAATATTTTTTACATTTTTTGACTAAAGTAATAAAATCTAATTAAGTGCGAGTGGACAATAATCATTTACGGTACTTTACAAACTCGTTAATAATAATAATAATAATGACGATGATGATGATGATGATGATAATGATAATAATACCTTTTTTTTAAATGCGAGATGATGTGTTCATTAATTTTTTATTTTTATTTTTTTTTTACGAAAAGAAAATTATTATTATTATTATTTTAATTAAATTAAATTGAAAAAATAACGGCGGTGATAAAAT